CGGATATGTGGGTGTGTGTTGTGGCGCTCGTGTGTGCCAGCCGCGTTGCCAGTGTAGTTTTCTGTCCGGGTAATTAGCAAGGGTGTAATTCCCTACCCAGGCTATGCCTAGAGGGTTAACCTAGCTTAGCTTAACTTAGCGTAGCGCAGCGCTGCATTCGCATAGTATAGCGTAACCTAATATAGCCAGGCATAGCATAGCACAGCCTAGCATAGCGCAGCATATCATAGCATAGTCTATCACAGCGTAGCAATACATACCATCGCGCATCCTAGCATATCATTTCATAGCTTAGCATGATACATCGCAGCATTGCATAACATAGCTTAGCATCGAATATCGTCGCATATCATAGCACAACACAGCAAACCGTATCATATCATAGCGCAACATAGCATATCATATCATATCATATCATATCGGATCATATCATGTCATATCATATCATAGCATAACATATCATAGTGCAGCATCGCGCAGCATAGCGCAGCGCAACATGACATGGCATATCATATCATACCATAGCATATCATAGCGAATCAACTAATGCGGCTTTCCTAGGGGCTTCAACTTCTCGGTCGGGTCGCACTGGGGTAATTTATCTGCTCGAGTGTCATCTAACGTATATTTCCCAAACGCTCGATGCCCGCCCTCTTCGTCTTCGATCGTGCCCCTTGTGGGCGGTAGATATTTCTTCCCTGCAGGCCGCTGGGCCCCGGCAATCGGCGGGGCGGCCGCGGACCGTTGGTCTGGCCAGCGGCCGCGCTGATCGGCGGCAACCCGACCCCAAGAGGGACGGACAAGGAACCGACCGCGACGACGACGACGACGAGCGAAAGCGAGCGCGAGAGCGAGAGCGAGAGCGAGAGCGAGAGCGGGGCCACGAAGGGCAGGGAGGGGGCCGCGAAGGTCGACGGCGGGGCCACGAAGGGCATGCGTATGTGCCCACGAAAGTCGCGAACGAGCGGGGGCCACGAAGGGGAGATAATGCGGGGCCACAGAGGGCAACGACGGGACCGCTGAGGGCAGCAACGGGGCCGCGTAAGATAGCGAGGGGGCCGCAAAGGGGCCACGAAGGGCGTGCGTATGGGGCCGTGACTGGCGCGAACGAGCGGGGGCCACGAATGGCATGCATAACGTCCGCCTGTGATTAAAAAATGGCCAGACCCCACCCCCGGGGCTGATGAGTAGACCCTGCGGGGCGCGATATTTTTGTGAAATCACACGCGCCAGGGGGAGGGGGAGAGAGGAGGGCGAGGGAGGAAAAGGAGGAGAAGGCAAAGGACTAGGAAATGGAGGAGGAGGAGGAAGAGGATTTTGCTTGGATTTTGCTTGCCGGTCAACTGTGCCATGAGCACGAGAGCGCAGCCGTCGATAAGGAAGCTACCCCTATTCCAGGCTTCCCCTGGGCGAGAGGGCCCCGCAAAACTTCGCAGCTGAAAAATCAACCACTCGATTCTGGCGCCGAGCACTGGCCGCGCTCCAGCACGGCGTGGGCGCTCCGCGCCCACCCGCCGCGGCAGCGCGCTTCGCGCGCCGCCGCGGTCTCTTCCGGCCCAGCCCCAGCGGGGGAGTGGACCGCAGCGACATTGTGAACCCCGGGGGAGGAAAGAAGAAGAGAGGGACAGGGGGGAGGAAGGAGGAGCCAGGAGAAAAGAGGAAGGAAGGGGCATAGTCCCACCGCGGCCTACCCCCCTCCCCCGGGGGGGCGACCCCTCCCGCCTCCGCCAGTCCTCCGGCTGGTCGCCGGCTCCACTTCTACCCCCGCCGATACAGGCGGCGCCGACCGCCCACCAGCTCCGCTGGCGGGGGTGCCCCGGCTATCCCCGAGTCGATGACGGGGCCCCTGCTATCCAAGCAGGGGGGGGGCAGGAGGAGGAGGAGGAGGAGGAGGAGGAGGAGGAGGAGGAGGAGGAGGAGGAGGCCCGAGCGACGAAGAGAGTGGCCGCTGGCAACGGGTGCAGGCAGGGCGGGGGACGGCGGCGACGACGGCAACAGAGGGGGGAGGAGGACTACCCGCCTTGTTCGGGTCGGACGAAAGGCCGGGGAAACAAATCGGGTGGTTGCGAAGGGTGATGCGCGCAACTGGTTTCGGTCGCCACGCCGAAAGACCAGTCCTCGACGCATTGCCGCTTTCGGCGCCAGGAGGTGCCTGAAAAATCGGCGACGTGAGCAGCTTGGCAAATTCCTCCTTTGCTGCGCCACAGTTTCGTCTGGCACGCTTTGCCCGCGCGCCCGCATCGGCTCGACAGAAAACAGGGCTCTCGTTGGCGGCCGGTCGACGGCGCTAATCACAGGCGCGCCCCGTTGATTTTCATTCTGGCGGGCGCCGCCCCGCGATTCGTGTATTTGTTTCTCACAAGCTGACATCATGTTGGGCCGCACAGAGCAAGGAAGGGGGCCGCCGAGGGCAGCAACGGGGCCACGAAACGCAGCGGGGGGGCCACGAAGGGCAGCAACGGGGCCACGCGTCGCATGCATTCGGGGCCACGACGGGCGCGAGCGAGCGGGGGCCGCTAATAGCAAACATGTAAGGGCCACGAAAAAACAACGACGGGGGCCACGAAGGGCTGCAGCGGGGCCTCGACGGGCAGCGAGGGGCCACGCATCGGTGCGACGGGGCCACGCAAGGGCTGCGAAGGGGCCACGAAGGGCTGCAACGGGGCCGCGAAAGGCAGCGACTGGGCCACGAAGGACTGCAATAGGGCCGCGAAGAGCACTGAGGGGGCCACCAAGGGCTGCAACGGGGCCACGACGAGCGGCGAGGAGGCCACGAAGGGCCACGAAACGCAGCGAGGGGGCCGCGAAGGGCTGCAACGGGGCCGCAACGGGCAAAGAGGGGGCCGCGAAGGGCAGCAACGGGGCCAGCGAGGGGGCTACGAAGGGCTACGACGGGGCCACGAAAGGCAGCGATATCCAGATTCCTAAGTAAGCTGTGAGGGCGTCCTGCGCGTGAGCGCGACTCCTGGGTGCCTGAGTGTCAAGAGCGCGGCGCTGGGGTAAAATGCAGAGGGCCCCAAAGCAAGAACGCGATTTTTGAGTAAATTGCAAGCAGGTCCCCAGGGAAAGCGCGAGTCCATAGCGCCGAACGAGCGATTCCGGAATACATTGTAAGGAAGTGCGAAGCGAGAGCGCGATTCCTGAATAGAAGGCGAGGGGATCTCAGGCGGGAGCGGGCGTCTAGGCTAAATTGTGAGGAAGTCTGAAGCGGGAGCCGCTGGGGTTGTAACCCGGGGGCCAACAACCAGTTTGAGCCCCGTATTTTTTATCAGGGTGCGAGCCCTGGGGGAAGCACTTCGATTGAAAAGCAAAGGTCACCAGAATGGGGGGATCAACAGTATTTATTCTTCAGTACTGAGAATTCAACAATGGCTCCGCCTGGTACTTATGTTTGCCTCGAAATCGCGGTCACGCGCGGGATTCCCTCACAACTTATGCTGGAATCGCGCTTTCGAGTAGGACGCCTTCCCATTTTTTTCAGACGCCGCGCCCTCGACACTCATGAATCATGCTCTCGCTGTGTATTTCCTCACGATTGTTTTGGACATCGCGCTTTTGCTCGAGACGTCCTCGCGATTCATTCAGGACGCGCGCTTCAGCAACCCGCCTGCCCTTTGTCCCTTCCTTCCATCCGTATTTTCTCCCCCTGACTCAGGGATTTCACGATGCGCATGTTGCAGGCAATCAAGACTCACCCATAAAAAAAAGGGGGTGCAATCGAACACGAAGAGTGCGGCTATCGAGGGTTTGGGATGTACGAATTGAATGGCACACGAGCAGATACGTGCGAACAGTCTCACAATGATTGTTGTTGTTGCAGTTGTTGCTGCTGTTGTTCTTGATGATGCTGTTGATGATGATGTCGATGGCGATGCGGTTGTTGTTGATGTCAATGTTGCTGTTTTTGTTGCTGCTGTTGCTGTTGTTGATATTGTTGATGTTGTTGTTGACGAAGCCCGTTTCTAAATCATAACTATTGCTGATCCCCCCCCTTCGTTCACCATATCGCGTTTTGCAGTAAAGTGCTTCTCCCGGAGCTCGCACCCTATTTTTTACGAGGACCGCGGCCCCCGGCTTACAACAAGAGCAACAACAGCAACAACAGCGACAACATCAACAACAGCAACAACAACAGCGTCTCCTGCTTGATGCATCCTCTCAGTTTTCCTCAAGATCGCGCTCTCGCGCGGGACCCCTTCACAATGCATGCTGGAGTCGCGCTCTCGCGTAGGACGTCTTCACAATTTCTTCAGACGCCGCGCCCTCGACACTCAGGAATCATGCTCTCGCTGTGGATCCCTCACTATGCAATTGGGAATCGCGCTATCGCTCGAGACGTCCTCGCGATTCACGCAGGACGCAAGCTTCAGCAACCCGCCTTCCCCTTGTCCCGTCCTTCCATCCGTCCTCTCTTCCCCTGCCTCAGGGGTTGCTCTAAGTACACTTTGCAAGTGATATGTATTTACACATACGCATATATTTATTTTTATATATGCATATATACACACATCTATATACGTGTATGTATATGTATGCACGTATGTATGTATGTATGTATGTATGTATGTGTATATATATATGTATATGTATATATATATATATGTGTGTATATATCCCCAAGGGGGTACTTTCGAAAACGAAGCGGTCGGGTATCGAGGGTTTGGGATATACGTGTTGGATGGCACGCGAGCAGATACGTGCGAGCAATCTTGAAATTGTTGTTGCTGCTGCTGTTGTTGTTCTTGATGATACTGGCGATGAGGATTTGGAGGATGCATATAATAATTTTGTTGTCGTTGTCGTTGTCGTCGTCGTCGTTGTTGTTGTTGTTGTTGTTGGTGGTGGTGGTGGTGGTGGTGGTGTTGTTGTTGTTGTTGTTGTTGTTGTTGTGGTTGTTGTTGTTGTTGTTGTAGTTGTTGTTGTTCTCGTTGTTGTTCTCGTTGTTGTTGATGTTGTAATATTAACTTGATATTTCGATTTTCCAAGCCCGCCCGCCGCAGGAGGCCCCCAGCGCGGCGGGGGAGGCCGCGGGCGCTTGCGCCGCCGCGGGCGTTGGCGGCTGCGTGGCGGCAGCCCGCCGACAGGCGGCCGACGCTTCCAGCGACCGCGACGGCGACGAGGAAAAGGAAAAGAGGGAGGAGGTGTAGGAAGAGGAGGAGGAGGAGGAGGAGGAGGAGGAGGGGAGGAGGAGGAGGAGGAGGAGGAGGAGGAGGAGGAGGAGGAGGAGGAGGGAGGAGGAGGAGGAGGAGGAGGAGGAGGAGGAGGAGGAGGAGGAGGAGGAGGAGGAGGAGGAGGAGGAGGAGGAGGAGGAGGTGTTGCAAGATGGCCGTGCGACTGGGTGAGGAGCGCAGTGGTACGGTTAGTCGAAAAGCTATCGTTACCGACGCTGTTATGTTCAAGTACACATCAGCGGAGCGACCGCCGAACGTTGCTGTTAGAACATATTTGGTATTACCAGTGGAGCGTTCCCGTGCAAATCTTCACCAGGAATTTGCATGGTAGCGGGGCGAAGTTAATGGCAACCGCAGCAGCAGCGGCAGCAGCACCCGCTCATTCCGGACACCCGCTCCCCGAGGTAAAAACGCTTCAGGACTGAAACCATTGGTTCAGTGAGCTATGTGCAGTGGCGTACTGTGGGGGTGGCTACAGTCGCGTTGAAGTGGCGCTGAGAGCTAACCGTGAAAGAATGAACGAGCTCACCGGGAGACAAACTGCAGTCGGAGTGAGGAACCTCGCTTTCGAGGAGGGGTGCGGACTGTTACAAATGACCCAGGATGAACTCATGGCTCCCCAGCATCCTGAGCGAGGTTAAGAAGGCGAGGCTCAGAAGCCCCAGTTAAGGATTGGGAGCCTTGAGAATCAAACGAACCTGCGGAAAAAAAAAAAACACGGTTTTGCATATTGCGAGTATAGCAGAGCCTATAGCAGACGGAAGAGCAAGTCGAGATATCATCGGAAGCCGCTTGATGAATATAAGCCCCGCAGCAACTCAACTCACAACTTTCGGCGGTGTCCGAGCCAAGTTTCGCTAGTGGAAGACGAGTTTGTCAACGCGCTGGCGCGAGGGAACCCGCAGTACTTGAGGTCGCGAACATATGGGCGACAAGCTGGATACCATGGGCGGTGCGCTGCAAGATGAAGACGACGTAGATGCGCTCAGGGTCCAGAGCGTTAGGTTAACCGCGCCAGATCGCGCGAAATCAAACCTGGCAAAGCAACGGCAGGATGATGACGCATCAGAATTTGATATCGCTGAAGAAAATGTGCGCACACTAGATGAAGACGCGCGGTGCATCCTGCGTGGCGAGCTGGAAGGAGCGGGGCCCAGAGAAAAGTTAAGAGGGCTCAGAGACGGTGATTTGCACATGGTGTTCTGCGTTGCTGGCGTGGCTCTGGCGGCCAGAAAAGGCATGGTTGTGAGACCCGGCGCGGCCGCCCGCCAGCGAGCGGCGCCGGTGTGAGCGCTGCGAACGCACGGCCACGCGCGCCCCTTGAACCTTCCCCGCGTGAGTGCGTCGAGGACCATTGCGACGCACGCCGGCGACTGGTTTGAGGGGCGGCGCCAGGAGTGTTTCGAAACGCCCAATTCATTCGCGGCAGGAAGCTACCACCAACTTTTTTTTCACGCGAAGACTGGGCGCGCAGGAAGAAACTGGGCGCTGTCGCGAAGAATCGCGGTGCTATTGGCATCGGAGGCGTTGGCGGAGGTGGCGGCGATCAGGGGGGCCCCCGGGGCTCGTGGGGGCTGGAACGCAGAGGGTTATATCGGTGATGGGGGTTGCTGGTGGTCCAGTGATGCCGGCTGGAGCTATGGGGGTCGTCGCCATGGATGAGGCGGAGTGGGTGCGATTTCACGCGCGGCGGAAAAAGGGGGGCCGAGGCTTAGATGTTACGCGCGCGGTTACTTTGAACAAATCGCTGCAAATTGCAGGAAACCAGGGGCGAGGGCCGCAGCGGGAAAAAGGTAGCGGGGGAACGTGGGCAGATGACGCATGGGGTGTAAGTCGAGGGGGCCCGCCAAGACGAAGGTGGAGGTTGCAATGGCCGCGGAGGCAAGGGGCCCGGGAGTTGGGCTAGAGATGGGTTCGCGCCCATAGCCGGCCGAGAACATAATGCGCGCCGGGGAGAGGGTGGACGTGGCAGCGCAGTGTAATGGCAAAGGGGCGTATAAGGTGGAACAGCGCCAAAGAACAACGCTCGCGCTGGGGGATCCGGAAGGCCCGGGCGGGGGTCGAAGCATGTGCGCTTGTCACTCGGCGAGCCCATGCCGAGATGTTTTGGAGTGGGTTCCCTAATTGGCCTGCCTGGGATAGACGAGTGGGCGCGGCGTGCCAGGGGTGGTAAAGGAATGTTGCGTGGGCGCGGCGCGAGAATGAGGGGGGCCGTCGTCCCGGGTGCCGCCCGCAGCTCCAATTGGCAGGCGAGACTGCAGAGTGCCTAGGGCAATGCTGGCAGCAGAATCGCTCCGAGATGCAGCTGGCGGGGGCGCCTGCGGCCAGTCGTGGAGTTAACGCGGTTCTCAATGGTGAGGCCATTGGTCTTGCGCAACGGCGGTGACCACCTAGGGCTCGGGCGCCTGCGGCGCTGCGGGGCCGCCGAACGCGGGCGGTCGGTCATTTTTCAGTTGCTCCCGCGGAGGCGTCTCGAGCATGCGAGCGCTGCGTCGCAGCTAGCGGCGCTGTCGCGAGAAGTTTTGGCCGGGGGGCGGTCGCCTGGGAAAAACGAGCGGGGGGTTTGAGTGGTCATGCCCGTCCAAGTGGCGGATGTTAAGGAGGTGCTGGCGCCGTCTCGCAAAATGGCAGAGGCCTCGAATTTTCTTCGATCGGGGCGAGAGGGCGCGACCGTGCAGTTGCGTGGGGCGCGGGGCAGCCGGTCAGGGGGTGGCGGCGCGCGGGGGGGGGGGGGCGTTCCAATGCGACATCGGAGCGCCTGCGGGAACAGCGGGGGGAGGTCGCGGGCGGGGGGGGGGTTATCCGAGGCGGGAAATCCTGGCGGGGGACTTGCTCAGCGGCGTCTTCCGAAGCCCGTCGGCCCCAATCAGAGATTCGTTATCTAAGGGGTAGATAATGGAGGAGATGGCGGTGATTGGGCGCCGGTCCAAGTGGGGGAGAGGCTGCGTCTATCGCGGAGGAAGCTGGGTTGCCGCGGAACGCGCGCAGTGATTTCTGGCCTGGCAGCGAGGAGGTTGAGGCCCGCAACGCGATGCGTTTACCATCGTTACCTTAGCTGGCGCCCCCGCTGCTTCAGAGGCGCCGCGAGGGGGGAGGGGGGGGCGCGCGAAGGAGCGGCATCGGCCGGGCGCAGGGGCGCCCGCCTCCGCCCATTACACGCGGTTCAAAGGGCAGAAGGGCCAACGTGATGAAGGCGACCGGGGGGGCGATCCTGGTCTTGCATTGCCGACTCGCAGAGTTAACTTGGAGCAGAGTGCTGTTCAACGAACGGCCAGATCCGTGTTCGATCAAAGTAATGACTGAAGTGATGTCGCACGCGGGCCATAGAAGCTATTTCCTGAAGAGCGATGGTGGGCCTTCGATCGCAGCCTGGAGAAGCCCTGTTCGAAGGATGCGCGATGTGAACTTAGGAGTAGAAGTTCGCCCAGTGGGGGGGTCCCACTCGCAGGGGGGAAGTTGAGAGAGCAATTCGAACTGCTCAGGGCCGACTGAAGGGCATGAAGGGCGATCTGGATGGTAAATGCAAAGCAGAACTTGTGGAACATCTCGTGCCCTTGCCCTTTGTTTAGTCGCAGGGGGGGCGGGGGAAAAGGCGGAGGAGGAAAATTAGGAGGGGGGGGGGGAGGAGGAAGTGGGCGAGTGCGAGAGGGGGGGGAGTTTGTCTTTGAGTTTGAGGAGGAGGAGGCGGAGCACGAGGGGAAGGGGATGATGCTGATGATGGTGCTGATGATGGCGATGAGGGGCAGGATGGGGAGCAATAGCACAATTTGAGCCCACAGAAAGCGGGTCATTGTAATAATGAGATAATCTTACGGCGAATACGAATGTTATTAATATTCGGTGGAAGCATTAAAAACCCATGATGAATAATATTCCATATTTCCGTAAGAATTGCCCGAATTGGAAATATAATAGTACATTGTTTATCAACCGTGTGAAACATCAAGGTTCTCACATGAATGACCACCAGCTGTTAGTATGGTCGTAACCACCCGTACATTCATACCAACAATACGAAGAAGCATTCTACTATTAAGAAGAGTGGTGTACCTAGTACGGAGAAGAGTAGGAAACGAAACAGAGGAATCGCACGACGAAGCATAACTCAGTAATATGAGCTGTAGTACCACCGACCCTACTTTTAAACATGCTACATAACGAGTTACACACATAGTAATAAGGAGGTTAATGCTGGTACTATTGATAATATCGTTCGTCGCAGTAATATTAAACACTAGTAGGAATATGGAGACGCATCTTGCTATTGTTATGAAGACCAGCATCATTAATCATACATAGAACAATCGTACGCATACGCGTACGAAGCAGGCTACCAACAATCGGAAACTTAACACGAACAAGGACAACACCACTATGATAACTGGGCCGTAAGAGTGATCGTAATAAACATGGTTCTCGTACTTGTAATACCAGACACCATTCTCAGTATCGTAGACCGGACACCAAGAGAACATACCAAGCATGGTACTACGAGTGGTCGTAATAATGTTGACACGGTAATGCTGCACAAACTACGAACCTTATTAGTTTTAACAAACATATGTATCATACGTAGTAGTAAAAATACGAACGTTATCTATATTGGTGATGCGGATGGTCGAGGTAAGGATGTTATTCGTACGATGGATACTCAGAACAACACAAACTGGTGTGACAAGTAATTATGCATTTGGTGAAACAAAAGACGACAAACAGAGGAACACAATGCGGATGTGGTGGGGAGGAGGTGGGGGAAAAAGGGAGGAGAGGCGGAGGAGGACTTGGAGGAGGAGGCAAGGGAGGACGAGGAGGAGGAGGAGGACGAAGAGGAGGAGGAGGAGGATGAAAAGGAGGAGGATGGGGAGGAGGAGGAGGAGGAGGAAAAGGAGGAG